AAACATAAAAAATGACTTTTTTTTAATCAGAAAAAGTCATAGGGAAAGCAGTTAGACCTGCTGTCCCTATGACTTTTTCAAGAAAAAACTTTTCTAAATCATTTATTTTATCATTAGGTATTATTATAATAATAGACAGATGTCATCGTCTCTCGAAATACAATATTTTTTTTTATTTAGCTGTCGATAGCCCGACACTTGCTCCGCAGCCATCTCGTATTTTCTCACGCACGTGGGATTGTGGGACCTCTCGTATGATTGGACCTAGTTTCAAGAACTCTTTCGAGTCGATCACGATTGAACCTCGTTTCAGTCGAGATTGAAACGGTCGATGGAGGTTGCACCAAGGCGAACAGGGTATAAGGCTCTAGTTTAGTAGTGTTACAGACTATAATACGTATATTTTAATACATTTTTTAAAAGAAACAAAACCACTGTGTGTTTAACAACGGGTTCGGAAAACTTTGAAAATGTTAAGAACGGGTTCGGCCGAACCTGTGCGAACCCGCTGAATATCACCACTGCATGTAATGCAGTTAATTACATTAAGTAAGTAACTACATTAACAAAATTAATATATCTTCAGTAATTTCGGAATAAAAATTGTGAAAGAGATTTTTAACTGTATATCATCATTACAGTTTCTTTGAGCTGGACATACAAAAGCTAGTTGAGTGTTAGTTTTAGTCATAGCTAATGATGAAAAATACTGTCTTAAGTTTTTATATTATCATTGAATAAAGTCACTTTTTATACCCTAATTTTCAACAATAATACATTATTGATTGTCTAAAACAATAATGTGTATAACAAATCAGAAAAAAAAGAGAAAGTGAAAATAAATATAAGATTAATCTCAAATTATTTTATTGTTTNATTTTACAAAACTCTGTTTCAGTTCTTTATAAATTATTCTAAAACTTGCAGATTAATATTAAATTTTCAGTTGTAACCTTGAAATTTTATAATTATATTTAGATATTTTTATTTTCTTGAAATTATTTATACAAATCTTTCAATCAGTTTAATTGAAACATTTGTTGTTGTTTTTATTTTAATACGTAATATACCTTAACCGATTAACTTTTTAAAAGTTACTTTGCTTAAATTTTAATTTTTTTAATAAACAAATCAGAATATATTTTTGTTTCATGAAGCATTGAATCATATGATAGCCTTAATTAAAAAGCTAGAAAAATAAAGACTGTATTCTTGGATTATAACTTTCCATTAATTTTTTGATATATACATTTTGTAAATTTTCTTAATGTCATTGATGCTTGTTCTGTCTATAAGAATTAATGTCAGATTTCTTACAAAACAAAATTCTTCAAAAAATTTTGCATTTACATGTTAAGGAAGATAAGAAGTTTTTCCTTGTTTAATTTTTATATTTATAAAATTATATATATTTGCATATTTATGAATTTCATTTTTTGTGGTTATATGATGTCTGTCATACTCAAAATTATTTTTCATTTTTCAAGAAATTAAAAGAATAAGAGGGTTTCTTATTGATTACATTAATCTAATTAATTGATCATATTAATCTAAATTAAAAGAAATTATAATCAATAAGTTGATATTTTTACAAACATTAATCAAAAAACTGACAAACTATATATAAACTATATACAATGTGTCTGTTCTGATGCATGTCATGTTTTATATATATATATATATATATATAAGGATATAATGCATTAAAATTACATCCAAATTTCCTTTGTTTTTTTAATATTGAAAAAAACTGAGTTTTTACTTTTCGAAAGATTGAATGTTTGCTTTTTGTTTATATTGATGGCATTGATGGAAGCATATAATAGGTCAGTTTAGTCACCAATTAAACATTAGTTCCAGCTTTAAAGAATAATTTTTATATGAAAATTATATATTTACATCTTATTCTAATATCTAATAGAACTACAACAGCATTAAAAATTATTTGATAATTATAGACTGCTTTATGTATCTTGGATGGATGATGTGTGATACTTGGTTGAGGCTCTGAAATTTTAAGTTTGAGAGCCCTTTTATGTCAATGCATAGTGATTTTGTCAAAGATTTTTCAAACAATCCATGCCTTCACTAAGTAAATAGACTGGTCTCTGCTATTTTACATTCTTATAGTCCAACCAAGATTCATTAAACAAGCTATATAGTTGATGTTCTAAGCAATTTTTATTACAAAGAAAATAGAGATATCATGCCTTTCATTGATAAAATTTATTTATTATAATTTTTGTAGCAATTTTCTTGCACATTTTACCTCTGAAAAATTGAATATTTAAATTTAGGAATTAACTTTTTATGTGCTGAGATGTTATTCAGATATAAAAAGAAACAAAAATCATATTCCAATATTAAAGCAGCTAAAGATCTAAAGCCAAAATTATTCACAAGCTATAACTATGCTTGGATTATTAATAATTAGCATAGTTGTAGCCCATGAATAATCTGGCTTTAAGGCTCATCCATAAAACATGCATCCTGGTTTAGGGAAAGAATGGTATATTAAAAAAGACCACAAAATACTGCATAGAGAAGGGATGAGTAAGGTAAAAAAATCGATATGGCTATAATTATTTTAACAAAATAAATTTAGAAATTTTTTAAAAAATTATATACTGCATTTAATGCAATAGAATCATATTATAGCAAACTTTTAGATCTTTCCCAACAAAATTTTTCAGTTGTATGAACATATTTATAATGGGTTAGGTTAATATGTCAGTCCTATAGCAAATGAATTCCTACAATTTTCACTTTACTATAACAATTTCATTACATCTTTCTCTCTTCCTGAAGTTTTCCAATTTGTAAATAACTGTGTCCAAAATAAGAGGGATAGGCTTAGAAGTAACTAATGAGTTGTAAATATACAACAACAAATTGTCATAGACACAGGTGTAAGGATGGCCATTTATGCTTCTTTTAATTTTGTTATTTACCTTATTTGTCACTCCAGGCTTTGATAGTAAGATAGGTAAGATAGCACCAAAGGATATATGGAGTTAATTTTTTAATTTGCTTGATGATAATTCATATACATTTTTTATAATAACAAACTTACAGTTTAGCAAGCTCAAGTTCATTATAATGAGAGCCCATTGCATATTGATATTTTTACAGTTAATCAAATAAATTAGCTGATTTTCTTTGAACATTAGTGCATGAGCTATGTTAAGTGAAAGAGCTATTTGCAATACTTTTTATCTTCATCTAGCACATGAGCTGTACAGAAATGCTTGGTGTCTTTAAAAAAACTATTGATAAAACATCATTGTATTGAAAATAAAATTCCATTTTTTATTTGAAAGATTGAAAAACTGCATTTTAAAGGAATGAAGAATAATACAAGTTTTAGAATTTTTTTTATTAACTATATTTCTTTTTATGTTTTTTAATGTATTACTACATAGTTTTGTTCATTTAATGTTTACATGTAAAAAATCATTTTGAATTAGAATAAAATTAATGTTATGTATAAATTCTTGAAAAATCTAAGTGTAATATAATAAAATTATATAATATAATTAAATTTTAAATATATTCATATTGATTACTGAATTCTTCAACAAGATTCATTTAATTTACATTTTAATTTCCAAAATTAAACAATTTATACTTTTTAATATATGCAGGATTTAGTCAACTTTCCTTTCATTGTGTTAAATGACCTTGACTATTTCCTTCTAGTTGCATGTTAAATTGTAATTCTATTCTTATAAAAAAATTATTCAAATTCTAGAATTTTGATAAATTTTAACAATGAAATTTTATTAAAATCATTTTATTCAAAAGTAACACATTAATAAATTATGCTTAGAATTTAAATAAATTCCATTTTTTATTATATAAAAAATAATTATACATTTAATCATTTGTATTTTATCTTATAAGCAAAAAGTAAATGATGATGATTATTTCTATAATGATACTTTATATAATGTAAGATATAAAACTTGGATTTTTAAAGATATTTAAGAAATGCTCTTATATTAAACCAAATGACAGTCTTAATTAATCTGGCTAGTTTATACAAAATTAATAATTAGAATTTAAATAATTTATTACTAGAGGTAGACAATTAAGACAATATACATTTATTTTACAAAACTCTGTTTCAGTTCTTTATAAATTATTCTAAAACTTGCAGATTAATATTAAATTTTCAGTTGTAACCTTGAAATTTTATAATTATATTTAGATATTTTTATTTTCTTGAAATTATTTATACAAATCTTTCAATCAGTTTAATTGAAACATTTGTTGTTGTTTTTATTTTAATACGTAATATACCTTAACCGATTAACTTTTTAAAAGTTACTTTGCTTAAATTTTAATTTTTTTAATAAACAAATCAGAATATATTTTTGTTTCATGAAGCATTGAATCATATGATAGCCTTAATTAAAAAGCTAGAAAAATAAAGACTGTATTCTTGGATTATAACTTTCCATTAATTTTTTGATATATACATTTTGTAAATTTTCTTAATGTCATTGATGCTTGTTCTGTCTATAAGAATTAATGTCAGATTTCTTACAAAACAAAATTCTTCAAAAAATTTTGCATTTACATGTTAAGGAAGATAAGAAGTTTTTCCTTGTTTAATTTTTATATTTATAAAATTATATATATTTGCATATTTATGAATTTCATTTTTTGTGGTTATATGATGTCTGTCATACTCAAAATTATTTTTCATTTTTCAAGAAATTAAAAGAATAAGAGGGTTTCTTATTGATTACATTAATCTAATTAATTGATCATATTAATCTAAATTAAAAGAAATTATAATCAATAAGTTGATATTTTTACAAACATTAATCAAAAAACTGACAAACTATATATAAACTATATACAATGTGTCTGTTCTGATGCTACTTTCAGTGTGAATTCATTCTTTAATTTCTTTTGATTAATCATATCACAATAATTATATAATAATATAAATAAAAATTGAATATAATATTATTTTATTTTCTATAAACTAGGTTTTGCTGAAACAGAATTATGGCATTTTCCATATGGTAGATTTTCTTCATTATCATCATGTAGACATAAACATCCCTCATTAATACGTAAGTTTACTTTTAAAAATGATATAATTCTTATATTGTTTTAGGATTAATCATACAAAATAAAATTTCGAAATTTCCTTACTTGAGAAAATTAAAAGATTAAATTGAAAGAAGTTTAACTGAAATGATAGTTAAAGAATTTAAAAAATATTACAGTAACAAATAATTTTTCTTAACCTTTTCATTTTCTTTAATTTTTTTTAAAATATAAAATATTGATTATAACATAAAATACTTTCAGATTTAAATTTACAGCAGTTAAGAGGCTTTAAAACAAAAACAGAAAGAAAAACATATGGCTTAGGTGGAAAATCTGTAGAAACTTCTAGAATATCCAATGTTAGTGATAAGCTATTAGGTTTAACTGGACGAAAAGAAAAGGTAGTAATGAAACAAAATTGGTAGTAATGATTTCATTATAAAATATTTCTTTTTAATAAGGAAATATTTATAAATTTTTACAGGACAAGTTAAAACTTCAATCAGAGGCTGAACAAAGTGATAAATTAAAATCATTGCTTACAGATGAGAATCTCAGTCCTGAAGAACAACAAAAATTAAAGGTATTACACAAATAAATTGCTTATTTTTTCAACATGAATAAATGAAAGTTTGTAAAATTATATATAACATGAAATTTTTATAGTAGTATTTCTTTTAGCCATGTATTTTTTTCCTCATTACTTATACAATAAAACCTGTGTAAACTGGAATAGTATGATACCAAATTTTTTCTGTTTTGACAGATTTCCATTTTGAACATATTTTAATATAATTTTGTTTAATTTTTAAACTATACCAGATATAAATGTCACACAGTTACATTCATTTTATAGTAAAATCACTTTTATTATGTACATAAAAATTTTATGTCTAGGTTTAATCCAAATTACTCTAAAGTGATTCCAACTAAAGATGGATGTATTCAAATGAAAGAATTGAGAACTATTCAATTCTAAAAAGTTCTTGTCTTGTTCTTGGAAACTTATGCTTATGTTTGTATACTGATGATTCTCAGATGCAATCCTTGTGAGTGCACATAACAATGAACAAGCCAATTCAAGTACCAATAACTAGTATCTCACTCTTCTGTTGGAAATTCTATAAGTAATTGAATTACAGTTACTACAGAAACCAAGTTATTCTTTTACCTGACTTCTTGAGGAATTTTAATATTCTGATTATTTATTAACTTCAATATTTGTTATTATCAATAATGTTAACCAATTTATAGTTGAATATTCTGTGCTAATTAATTACTAACTATTCTATAGTGCATACAAGGCAAATTAACAGCATCATGTTGCCTTATTCTCTTTGTTTTTAGCAAATTACATTTGTTGCTAGTTTTTTAGAACTCAGCTTTTGGAATTTTATTTTTGATTTAAAAGTATGTGATTCTGCTCCTAGTTAATTCCAACAAAGACTTTGTTTCTATAATTTATATCCCCTTGTCATGTGACCTTTATTTCTCTGAAAAGGTTAGAACTCATTTTGGGAATATATTTTGTCATGCTTTGTGGTGATTGTTATGCCTGAAGACAATTTCCTTATTTGTCCACAGTGGAATCTTAATTTTCTGCTTTTTATTCAGGTTAAATTATATTCTTTGTATCTAAAAACCTCTTTGCCTCTGCTTTAGACAGGCTTCTGGTTTATAAAAAAATAATTAAAAATTGCTTCATTCTCCATTGGAAAATTTCTCCATTCTGAAGTTATTTTCTATTTATTCAGGTTTCATTTTAGACAAGTTTTATTGTGCCTTTATATGTACTGTACATATATATATAATATACTGTAGTTGAGTTCATACTACTATTTCAGGGCATATATAATATAAAATCTAAAATAGATTTATTATAACAATTCTAAATTGAAAATTTTATTGAAATATGATAAATTTCTTTAAAATTTTAAAGAAATTTTCCAGTATATTTAAGTTTATTCATTTAAAGTTGAGTTTAATAGTTGATTGAAATATTTTTGAAATACTATACATTTTCAAGCTAAATTATCATTTTATAAGGTTGCAAATGTCAACTTTCTAATCTAAGTAGATGGATAAAATTCAAAAAGTGATAAAATGAAACTTATTAACAATGAAAAATTTAATGTTTACAAAACTACAATAGTTAGTTTATAATCAACAAATTGTCCTTAAAGTTTATTTAACACTAATGTATTAAGTGATATGAGAATAAATGTAGAAAAAATTGCTTTATTCTAATAAAAGTATTATTTTAAACAAGAGCAAGAGAATTTAACTTTTATACCATAAAAAAAGATGCTTCTACCTTACAATTATGACTTTTCTTGAATCAGTTACCTACTTGTCACACTTGGTGTCGACTGGAAATTACACTTCTGCTCTGCTTTTGCATTCTTTTAAGCACTGAATGTGACATCACATTTCTAATGCCATTGAGTGCTCATATGCATATGTATTTAATGAGAATTGTTTTACTGAAGTTTTTCTTTATAATATCTAACAACATATTGCCAGTAATATGTAGATTAAATTATTCTGAGACATAACAATTTAATGACCATTTTCTTTTCATTTGCCAATTGTAAATGCTGTTTTTGACTGGAACCTGCTTGATGTAGAAAATGATAGTGCTGCAAAATAATTTTAAAAACTCTTGTGTTTTGTTATGGCTATGAATTAATTAGCAAAAATGCCATCTATACTGGCATTTAAAGTAAATCAAAAAGTTTCTAAGAATATACTTTTATGAAAAGACAGAGTAATTGAAGTTGAAAGTACTGTCTCCAGCAGATAGGAAGAGAAGTGAACATTATCATTTTTGCAAAAAACATTTTTTGAGAGCAAATTAATAAAAAGTAAGGGTCAATGCTGGAATCCTAAATATACTTTGTAAAAATGAGTATTGCAGACCTGAGGATTATAATTGAGCTTAGGGGTCTGTTGGGTGAAATTGAGTTATGAACAGGTTTTTGGGGTGTTTTTAGGGTGTAGAATTAGAATTCACCATGATTTTACCTCTAACTTACTTATAACACTGTGAGTGAGGTTTGTAATATGAAAGAAGGTTGATTCACATAATACGATAAGAGGGCTTACATATGTATTTCATCAGCCAGTGCTAGAACTAGGCTTTCAACAGGCTGCACCAATGGCAATGTTTGGTTTGCATAACATGACAAAGAATGATGGTTGCTACGTTGTCATTTGCTGTTCAGCGATATAATTATTATTATGCTGAGGATATTAAACATGCCTACTGATCACAATGATGTTCAAGAACACAAAGACCAAGATGGAAACTGCAGCTCAAGGTTAGGCATGACTCCATTTCCACCAGGATCATCAGCAAAGGAGAAAAGTGGGAGTTCAAAATCCCTGCTGATGGCCCAATGATTGTTCATTATAAGTATTCCCATTCATCATTGGAAGAATATGCTACATTTAGCGTGAAGCAGAAATGCTATCATAAAGTACTACCAGCTCTAAAGAAAAAATATGAAGGACAAACATTGTTGTAAATCCAGCAAAGATTGGTGATCAGAAGCAGATGGAGTTCATACCTGCAGGAAAAATGGATTTTTGGATATGCTACTTTGCTAAACAAGATAAAGGAGGCACCCATCAGCACAACATACTTGGTGACAAAGAACCTACAGAATTGGAGTGTATTGGAAACTGGAATGAGTCTCCTTCTGTGTTCAGCTGTTGTAATGTCACTAAGATATAGTGCAATCTTTCCTAAGCTCAGTTATAATAGTGTAAGGGACTTTTCATTGTTCTTTTAATTTTTCTTTATGTAAAACACAAAGAAAAATGTATTTCATATAATGTGAGTACATTTTGATAAGAATTCACAGTATAAAAAATTATGGATTTTAGCAATCTTTTTTCACTTCTACTGTAAAATTAAAAAAAAAAAAAAGTTTTAAGTCTAGTTATAATTCTCTAGTCTTAAATTGTAAAGATCTGTACAGTAGTTCTATAGATCCAAGGGGCATTGCAGACATTACTGCATTTTTATGATTCTTAACTATATTAATTGGAAAGTTTTTAAAACTTAATCAATATATTTGACATTTCTTTGCATATGCTAATTTTTATATAATATAATTTTGTTAACTAGCAAATGAAGAATAAAAAGTATATAAAAATTGTAGAATGATAACTATTATTACTACTAAATTTTATGAGTATTTTTGCAAGTTACTGATTTTTCTAAAATAGATTAAAAATGTATACATCATGAATGCACTAATTGGTTTTCAAATGAGTAAATTACATATTAATAATAAAAGTGAAGTATAATAATTTATCAACAAATAAATTTCTCATTTTTTGATAATTCCATAAAATAAATGTGTAGTATTTCATTTTCATTACTATGATAATTCTTAAATTAATTCTAATTATTTAAAATTTTTTTATGTAACATTTATCCTTTTATGGTTTTATTTTGTAAATGGTTATTGATATATTTTTTCATATTAACTAATAAAGCAATAGAATGATCTGTAAAAAAAATCAATGCAAAAATGTATTAAATGTATCTGTTACTGTGAATGACCGATATCTGGCAAATATCAACATTCTCCGGTGAATGTCAGCATTCACACAGTCGTTTCGTGTATGTACAAAATATTTGCTAGATATCATTATTTCTCACTTACACCGGCAAATGTCGACATTCAGCATGCACTGATGGTGAATGTTGAATAAAAATATTTTTATTACGTTAAGACAAAAATGCAACTTTTTAATATGTTAAAATAGGAGATAGCTTAAGTAACAGTACATGTAAATAAACTGTTGAACCTAAAACAAACAGTACATTCTAAATCATTAAAGAAAATAATACAATAATAAATTATGCGATTAACATTATACAATCTATTGATTTGTTTTTTGAAACTGTGTCCTGTTTTATATTAGACTCAACTAATAAAGGAATTTGATGGAAAATTTACCATGTGTCTTTGGAATAAAACACAATACTAGTGTTTACTACGCCACAAAAATTATACAATCTTATTTATTGCAACAACTTAAACTGTTATGGCACTTTGAATT